AAAAAAAAGAAGAAGAATGTAAAAATAAACCTGTATATAGTACTGTACTGCTGTGCCTCCCGCAGTGCTAGAATGTAAAATACCAATGTTACCCCATATGTATTGTAATTCATGCAAAGTCTGTTTTCTTTGGTATACTGTAATTCATGCAGCCCCGTTTTCTTTGGTATACGTACGGTAATTTTTTTTTTTTTTCAACAAACCGGCCATATCCCACCAAGGCGGGGTGGCCCAAAAGGAAAAACGAAAGTTTCACCTTTTACATTTAGTAATATATACAGGAGAAGAGGTTACTAGGCCCTTGCTCCCGGCATTTTAGTCACCTCTTACAACACGCATGGCTTACGGAGGAAGAATTCTGTTCCACTTGCCCATGAAGATAAGAGGAAATAAACAAGAACAAGAATTAGAAAGAAAATAGCAGAAAACCTAGAGGGGTGTATGTATATATATATATGCTTGTACATGTATGTGTAGTGTGACCTAAGTGTAAGTAGAAGTAGCAAGACGTACCTGAAATCTTGCATGTTTACGAGACAGAAAAAAGACACCAGCAATCCTACCATCATATAAAACAATTACAGGTTTCCATTTTACACTCACTTGGCAGGACGGTAGTACCTCCTGGGTTGTTGCTGTCTACCAACCTACTACCTAGAGCATACGGTAAATTTTTTTTTTTTTAACAAGTCGGCCGTCTCCCACCAAGGCAGGGTGACCCAAAAAGAAAGAAAATCCCCAAAAAGAAAATACTTTTATTATCATTCAACATTTTCACCTCACTCACACATAATCACTGTTTTTGCAGAGGTCCTCAGAGCACAACAGTTTAGAAGCATATACGTATAAAGATAAACAACATATCCCTCCAAACCGATATCCTGAACCCCTCCTTCAGAGTGCAGGCATTGTACTTCCCATTTCCAGGACTCAAGTCCAGATATATAAAAATAACCGGTTTCCCTGAATCCCTTCACTAAATATTACCCTGCTCACACTCCAACAGATCGTCAGGTCCCAAATACAATTCGTCTCCATTCACTCCTATCGAACATGCTCATGCATGCCTGCTGAAAGTCCAAGCCCTTCGCCCACAAAACCTCCCTTATCCCTTTCAACCTTTTTGAGGACGATCCCTACCCCGCCTTCCTTCCCTTACAGATTTATATGCTCTCCATGTCATTCTACTTTGATCCATTCTCTCTAAATGACCAAACCACCTCAACAACCCCTCTTCAGCCCTCTGACTAATACTTTTATTAACTCCACACCTCCTAATTTCCACAGTCCGAATTTTCTGCATAATATTTACACTACACATTGCCCTTAGACAGGACATCTCCACTGCCTCCAACCGCCTCCTCGCTGCTGCATTCACAACCCAAGCTTCACACCCATATAAGAGTGTTGGTACTACTATACTTTCATACATTCCCTTCTTTGCCTCCATAGATAATGTTTTTTGTCTCCACATATACCTCAATGCACCACTTGCCTTTTTTCCTTCATCAATTCTATGATTAACCTCATCCTTCATAAATCCATCCGCTGACACATCTTCTCCCAAGTATCTGAAAACATTCACTTCTTCCATACTCCTCCTCCCCAATTTGATATCCAATTTTTCTTTATCTAAATCATTTGATACCCTCATCACCTTACTCTTTTCTATGTTCACTTTCAACTTTCTGCCTTTACACACACTCAAACTCATCCACTAACCTTTCCAATTTTTCTTTAGAATCTCCCATAAGCACAGTATCATCAGCAAAAAGCAACTGTGTCAATTCCCATTTTGTATTTAATTCCTCATAATTTAATCCCACCCCTCTCCTGAACACCCTAGCATTTACTTCTTTAACAACCCCATCTATAAATATATTAAACAACCATGGTGACATTGCACATCCCTGTCTAAGACCTACTTTTACTGGGAAGTAGTCTTCCTCTCTTCTGCACTCCCTAACCTGAGCCTCACTATCCTCATAAAAACTCTACAGCATTTAGCAACTTACCACCTATTCCATATACTTGAAACATCTGCCACATTGCTCCCCTATCCACTCTATCATATGCCTTTTCTAAATCCATAAATGCAATAAAAACTTCCCTACCTTTATTAAAATACTGTTCACATATATGCTTCAATGTAAACACTTGATCTACACATCCCCTACCCACTCTAAAACCTCCTTGCTCATCTGCAATCCTACATTCTGTCTTACCTCTAATTCTTTCAATTATAACCCTACCGTACACTTTTCCTGGTATACTCAGTAAACTTATTCCTCTATAATTTTTACAATCTCTTTTGTCCCCCTTCCCTTTATATAAAGGGACTATACATGCTCTCTTCCAATCCCTAGGTACCTTCCCCTCTCATACATTTATTAATCAAAAATACCAACCACTCCAACACTATATGCCCTCCTGCTTTTAACATTTCTGTCATGATCCCATCAGTTCCAGCTGCTTTACCCCCTTTCATTCTACGTAATGCCTCACACACCTCTCCCACATTCACATCCTGTTTTTCTTCACTCCTAAAAGATGGCATACCTCTGGCCAGTGCATGAAATTACCGCTTCCCTTTTTTCGTCGACATTTAAAAGTTCCTCAAAATATTCTCGCCATCTACCCAAAACCTCCATCTCCCCATCTACTAACTCCCCTACTCTGTTTTTAACTGACAAATCCATTCGTTCTCTAGGCTTTCTTAACTTGTTTAACTCACTCCAAAAATTTTTTCTTATTTTCATTAAAATTTCTTGACAGTGCCTCTCCCACTCTATCATCTGCTCCCCTTTTGCACTCTCTCACCACTCTCTTCACCTTTCTTTTACTCTCCATATACATACTCTACTCTTCTTATAACACTTCTGCTTTGTAAAAACCTCTCATAAGCTAACTTTTTCTCTTTTATCACACCCTTTACTTCATCATTCCACTAATCACTCCTCTTTCCTCCTGCACCCACCTTCCTATAACCACAAACTTCTGCCCCACATTCTAATACTGCATTTTTAAAACTATTCCAACTCTCTTCAACCCCCCTTCCCTCCTACTCATATTTGTACCAGCCCACCTTTCTGCCAATAGTTGCTTATATCTCACCTGAACTTCCTCCTCCCTTAGTTTATACACTTTCACCTCCCTCTTGCTTGTTGTTGCCATTTTCCTATTTTTCCCATCTACCTCTTACTCTAACTGTAGCTACAACTAAATAATGATCCGATATTTCAGTTGCCCCTTTATAAACGTATACATCCTCAAGCCTACCCATCAACCTTTTATCCACCAATACATAATCTAACAAACTACTTTCATCACGTGCTATATCATACCTTGTACAGTGGACCCCGGTTAACGATATTTTTTCACTCCAGAAGTATGTTCAGGTGCCAGTACTGACCGAATTTGTTCCCATAAGAAATATTGTGAAGTAGATTAGTCCATTTCAGACCCCCAAACATATACGTACAAACGCACTTACATAAATACACTTACATAATTGGTCACATTCGGAGGTAATCGTTATGCGGGGGTCCACTGTATATTTATTTATCCTCTTCTTCATAAAATATGTATTACTTATTACCAAACCTCTTTCTACACATAGCTCAATTAAAGGCTCCCCATTTTCATTTACCCCTGGCACCCCAAATTTACCTACTACTACCTCCACAACATTTTTGCCCACTTTAGCATTGAAATCCCCAACCACCATTACTCTCACACTTAGTTCAAAACTCCCCACGCATTCACTCAGCATTACCCAAAATCTCTCTCTCCTCTCTACACTTCTCCAGGTGCATATATGCTTACTATAACCCACTTTTCACATCCAACCTTTATTTTACTCCATATAATCCTTGAATTAATATATTTATAGTCCCTCTTTTCCTGCCATAACTTATCCTTCAACATTATTGCTACTACTTCTTTAGCTCTAACTCTATTTGAAACCCCTGACCTAATCCCATTTATTCCTCTCCACTGAAACTCTTTCATCCCCTTCGGCTTTGTTTCACTTAAAGCCAGGACATCCAACTTCTTCTCATTCATAACATCCACAATCATCTCTTCCTTATCATTTTCACAACATCCACGCTCATTCAGACTTCCCACTTTGACAATTTTCTTCTTATTCTTTTTAGTAATTATTACAGGAAAAGGGGTTACTAGCCCATTGTTCCCGGCATTTTAGTTGACTTTTACAACACGCATGGCTTACAGAGGAAAGATTCTTATTCCACTTCCCCATGGATATAAAAGGAAAGGTAATAAGACCAAGATCTATTAAGATAAAATCAAAGAAAACTCAGATGAGTGTGTATAAATAAACATGTACGTGTATGTGTAGTATGACCTAAGTGTAAGCAGAAGTAGCAAGACGTACCTGTAATCTTGCATATTTATGAGACAGACAAAAGACACCAGCAATCCTACCATCATGTAAAACAATTACAGGCTTTCGTTTCACACTCACTTGGCAGGACGGTAGCACCTCCCTGGGTGGTTGCTGTCGGTAAATATACAGTAATAATATAATTTAGTAAAAGTAAATGAAATTCCCCTGAGTACAGCTGCATTTCACCATCCTAAGCTGTATTTTCCTCTATGGCCGTTTTGTGTTCTCTCTACAGCACTAAAAAAATTATACAGTATTATATTTTATGTGGAAATTTTGCTGAATTTACATTAATATATATGTTACAAAATTATTAAATTAATATTTAGCATTAAAACACATAAAAAATTATATATTTCCATGAAAAAAGCCAAAAAAAATTCGCAAATTTGCAGGGATTTCCGCGAACAATTATTAATTAGGTTCTAAGGAAAAATCCACAAATTACTGAGGCTGCGAATTTGCGGGGGTCCACTGTACTCTCAACATTCAACCCTTTTCTGCACCTGGGCCCTTTATTCAGTAATCAAAGGATTATCTTCTTTCAAAAGTGATTTTCATGCCTTGTTTATCACACGTTCTTTTGTAGGTAAACACAGAATAGAAGTGATAGTGCCAGGTGACGAGCCAGCTGAACCACCAGTGGTAGACTCAGGGTCCCTTAGGCAATCTGCAAAAACTGAACAGGCTGTACAAGACCAGTGCCAAGAAGAAATACAACAACCAGAAAGGTGAATAAAAAGCAATAAAGATAGAGGGAGAGAAAGAGTGTGTGTAATTATCTAATAACACTTTTTATTTCCAAGAGTTGATATTACATGGGTGTATAGCTCTGGGAAAAAAAAAAAAGGCATTGTGACTTACAAAGTTACATGTGTTGGTGGAGGATGCATAGATGGGATGTGGGCCTCACACTGCCTGTTTTACATGGCTTGGTGAAAGATACACAGATTGTGGGTATTGCCTGTTATACATAAGATAGTGGAGGATCCAAGATGGGCTGTTGTTCCCTCACTGCCTGTTACATGTGTAGGGTTGTGGAAGATATGTAGATGGTTTAGGCTTCACTAGTAACTTGGTAGTATGTGCTTCAGGTTTGATACATACCATGTAAGTACTTAAAACTGGGTTTAGAACTTGAAGTTTAAATATCTTAAAATATTTTCTTCACAGGCAATCAAGAAGTCAAATTACTCGCGAACATAGTGAAAAATTGTTGTTTGAGAGAATGCTTTCCATCTTCTTCTGGCCAGCCATGATGACCATTATTGAGTAAGTGCACTGTACATTTCTTTTATTTTTTTCTACTTGTGTATTCCCTCCTGCCTTACTGTGAGTAATTTCCATATTCTAAGGAATAACATGACTAAGAGACACTTATGAGAGGTTTTTACAAAGCATAAATGATATAAGAAGGGTGGGGTATATGGAGAGTAAAAGAGAGGTGAAGAGAGTGCAAAAGGAGGGCAAATGAGAATTGGTAAGGTCTTCTTCAACAAATTTTGCTGAGAATAAGAAAAAAATTTGGAGTGAGATAAATAAGAAAGCCTAGGGAACAAATGGATTTGACAGTTAAAAACAGAATAGGGGAGTTAGGAAATGGGGAGTTGGAGGTATTGGGTAGTTCGCAGGAATATTTTGAGGAACTGTTAAATGTTGAAAAGAGAAAGGCAGTAATTTCATGCATTGGCCAGAGAGGTATAACATCTTTTAGGAGCAAAGAAGAGCCAGATGTGAGTGTGGGGCAGGTGCACGAGGTGAATTTGTGGGTTTAGAAAAGGCATATGATAGGGTGGATAGGGAAACAATGTGGTAGATGTTGCAAGTGTCTGGAATAGGTAGTAAGGTAATAAATGCTGTAAAGAGTTTTTGTGAGGATAGTGAAGCTCAGGTTAGGATGTGTAGGAGAGAGGGAGATTACTTTCCAGTAAAGTAGGCCTTAGACAGGGATGTGTAATGTCACCATGGTTGTTTAACATATTTATATAGAGGGGTTGTAAAAGAAGTAAATGCTAGGGTGTTGGGGAGAGGGGTGGGATGAAATTATGGGGAATCAAATGCAAAATGGGAGTTGACAGTTACTTTTTGCTGATGATACTGTGCTTATGGGAGATTCTAAAGAAAAGTTGCAAAGGTTAGTGGACGAGTTTGGGAGAGTGTGTAAAGGAAGAAAGTTGAAAATGTACATAGATAAGAGTAAGGTGATGAGGGTATCAAACGAGTTAGGTAAAGAAAAATTGGATATCACATTGGACTGAGGGAGTATGGAAGAAGTGAATGTGTTCAGATATTTGGGAGTAGACTTGTCCACAGTTTTAGGATGCCATTCATGAGTCATGGGTGAGTTTACCCAATGAAATCTTGAAGAATGCATGGTAATTGCTTCCTAGACAATAGAAGGATGTTCTAAAGTGTAAGTGACAACCTATTTTGTGGTCATGATTTTAGAAGGGGCCTATGTACTTTAATGACGAGCACTATAAGTCATCCTACATTCGCGGTAAAGAGCCATTGTGGAAAATAAAATTAATATACTTTCCTGCTACAAGCAGATATGAGAAATATTGCTGGAACAAATGTAAAAGTTTTCAAGAGGAAACTGGATCACTACCTCCACCAAATGTCAACTCAACCAGACTGTGATGGATGTTTGGGCCAGTAGGTCATTAAAAGCAACAGGCAATCAGCAAAGTCTGGCCCCAAGCTGGGTTACGAGGGTAAAAAATATCTGAACTAGTTACAGGTATCGAAACAGTAAAGATAATAAGCAATGACTGTAAAGGAGTAAATTTTTAATATGTTGTTTCTTGCAGACCACCTTATGAGCGCATAGTGCAAACCAATGTAAAAATAATTCAGAAAGAGAACATGGAATCTCCAGACAGTGAAAGTGAGACAAGTTTTAAAAAGAAGTCGAAGATCATGCTGACTAAAGATGAACTGGATATCAAGGTTTGTTTTGTAGTCTAATTACCATGTGCATTGCCTTTAAATGCAGAAGATAATCATATATTTTTTGTCTTTAGGGAAAGGTTGTGTCTGATTTTTAAAAATACCAGATAATTCCATCAAGTTTTTAGGTTCCCTTTTTTGTGCAATTACTTTTTCACATTATCTGTTCACATGTATATATGACAAAGAGGACTGGATAATGTCAAATGCCAAATAAGTGTTAGCTAAATGATTGATGATCTTCTGTATAACTTAAAGGTATTATGGCTAGCTAATACGGGGATCAAATTTAAATATATCTTATAAAAATGTTATATATGGTGAAGAAACAAGATTTGACATTTCTTTGTTAAACTATTCAGTATAACTACCACATGTTAACCCTTTTAGGGTCAGTCCCATTGTGTCACAGCTTTGAAGCCAATGTCATTCTTGTAGTACAACGCCATGAACTCGGCTCACTCAGATAAGCTGTGAGCGGTAAATTTGGGCCTAGATATAAGAGAATAGGTCTATGTGGTAAGTGTGCACCATTTAAAAAAATTCTGCAGCACGTAGTGCACAATGGGACTGTATTTTTTGGTATAAAACAGTGACTTTGTGGTGTGTGGAAGATGTATTACAGAAAGAGATGATTTTGATTTGTTTCAGGACTGAAAGTACCCTGAAATTGAGCTCAAAGTAGCAATTTTTGCTGATATTCTAGAATACACAAATGATGTCACTCATTCAGTATGTGTCAAAATGGCCGATCTAATACACATTCATGAATGAGTTGACATTATTAATACAAATAAAGTGGAACCTTTGTTTTCGTGATTAGTTCGTTTCAGAAAGTCTAACGAAAACTGAGTTGTACAAAAATGGAAGCAATATTTCCCATAAGAAATAACGTAAATACATTTAATCCATTCCAGACACCCAAAAATATTAAAAAAAATACATTTTGTAGAGAATAACTATAGTTTTACATACAGAAAACAGTGAAAAATAACTATAAATGACTAATGAAATCGATAAATGAACATTTAACATTATTTTTACCTTCATTGAAGACTCGTGTTGGCATATGGAAGACGGCGAGGAGGGGAGAGGGAGGAGGAGAGGTTATTGTTTGGAAGGGAAACCTTACCCCGGCTGGGATTGAACCTGCGGTCAGAGAGTCTCAAAACTCCAGCCCGTCACGTTAGCCACTAGACCAGCTAGCCACAATAAGATTCGTCCAACTAGGTATATTTCTACACCATAGGAAGGTTAGCACAGGCACCACTGTGACCACAAATGCAAGTTTTTACAGACGAATCTCCAGCTAGCGCGGCCGTGACGAACTCTAGCTCAAGTTCCTTCACTGCCGTCAACATGACTCACGAAATCGTAATGACACGATTGCAAACCCTCCATAACGACTTAAGGTATCAAGGCCCTATCGGGGGTTACTTCCCTTCTTTGTCTTTTACTGGCACTAGGACCAGCTTGAGAGTCACTGGACCCCTGTCTCACAAAAAATCTGTCCAGAGATGTCTGTTTCTGGCATCTGTTTAAGATTTGCCTAAAATGGGACAAGGCATTATCATTGAACATGTTGCAGACACGGCTTGCAACAGCTTTGTTAGGGTGATATTTCTCCACAAAACTTTGCAACTCATTCCACTTTCCACACATGTCTTTAATCACTGAAGAAGGCATATTCTCCCCTCTCACTTCCTCCTCCTCCTCTGAAGCAATTTCCAGTTGAAGGTCTTGCAGCTCTTCAGTGGTTAGCTCTTCCCTGTGGTCATCCACCAACTCTTCCACATCCCGGCCACTTGCATCCAACTCCATGGACTTTCCCAAAGACACAATAGATTCCACAATAGCCATAGGGTCGTCAGGGTCAGCCTTAAACCCTTCAAAATCCTTATCGACGACATATGGTGGCTTATTTAGCAGTCGCACTCAATAAACAAGCACAAAAACAATGGATTATATAAAATGTTATCCGAATGCTTGGGGTAATGCTCACTTAATGAGAAAAAAAGCCAGACTAAGTCAGAATGCGTAGGACGCTTTGTGGGGGTGCGGGCAGGTGGTGGATGTGTTTGGTACGGTGGACCATTGTCAACTCTACAAAAACCGAGCAGATGTGCGAAAACTGGGACAAAATTTTGATGAAAAAAGTCATCGAAAACTGAATCCTACGAAAACCAGGGCAAACGAAAACCAAGGTTCCACTGTACAGTGGACCCCCGGTTAACGATATTTTTTCACTCCAGAAGTATGTTCAGGTGCCAGTACTGACCGAATTTGTTCCCATAAGAAATATTGTGAAGTAGATTAGTCCATTTCAGACCCCCAAACATACACATACAAACGCACTTACATAAATACACTTACATAATTGGTCACATTCGGAGGTAATCGTTATGCGGGGGTCCACTGTATTACAATAATGCAGTAGTCTGCATAAGAGTAAGTCTTCTATATTCTATTTTATGTGTGAATAAAAATTCATAATGGAAAGCAAGCATAATATAAGAGGGGCCTGGAGATGTGTCTAATGAACAGAGAAAAATGTTATTTTAGTGCCAGGAATGTTTGCATTGTTTATTCCTGACCCTATTTTAAAATTGGTATTTTTTTAAATGTGTGAAATTGGCCAAAATACTGATTTTTGATCACTTTATTGGGTAGTTGTAATAAGTAAATTGGCAGTTTCTTGTTGTCAGTTGTTAGATTAGAAGGAATACTAGAAAATAGCTAGGAGTTTTTTTTAGAGTGGAAAAATGGAATTGGCCAAAAGTAGGGCACAAAGTGAGCGAAATTGCCAGTACATAAATATCACCAAGACCGCTAACTTTGCGAGAGCATAATTCCATACGTTTTTCCTCAAATTTCATACTTTTGGTTTCATTACATTTTGAAAAATATTCTCTATATTTCATAAGATAAATTTTTTTTTTAAATTCTTCAACCCTGAGAGCAAGTTTGAGAGCAGGGGTCTCAACCCTGAAAGGGTTAAAGAAATAATTTATTTTACTCTCTTGCAAGATATTAACCTAAATGAATTGGAAGGAGGTTTTCAGTGATAGAGATTTAAGTATCCCACAGGCATGTGTGAACATGGTATGTTAAAGCAAATGGGGATAAGTGGTTTTGGGGATTTGATGTGTTGTTAGTGTGTGATCAAGGTAACACATTTATGAAGGGATTCAAGAAACTCATTTAATAACATGAGTTTTAGAGGTCTACCAGGGAGTTGTTCTGGGGGTCAATGCCCCCATGACCTGGTCCTCAACCAGGTGGAAAGTATAGTGCTTATGCTCTGAAGGAGGGGTGGGGATGTTGTGGTTTGGAGGGTCATTTAACTCATGATATCCCTCTGTTTTGGGCAAGACAGCTAAAGGACTGATGGTCACTGTGTTTCCTTTCTTTGGGGACACCTACTAGTGGGAAATAACCAATGTAAAAATATTGCTAAAATTTTCAGAAGAAAAACAATTTGATACAATTTGATACTTCTTTCAACACACCGGCCGTATCCCACCGAGGAAAATTTGATACTATTTTAGCTAAAATTGACAAAATTTGACTAAGGTATATTTTTAAACACTGCCCCTCTCCCACCAAAGTAGGGTGACCCAGTAAAAGAAAAAGAAAAAAAAGAAACTCTCACTATCACTCATTCAATCACTGTTTTGCCAGAATCATTCTGACTTCCCAGTTCAGCTGGCCCTCCAAACTGTAACATCTCCACCACCACTACAGAGTGGGAGGCACTGTACTTCCCACCTCCAGGACTCTAAATCTTGCTAACTGGTTTTCCTAAATTCCTTCATAAATGTAACCTTGCTCACATTCCAACAGCATGTCAAGTCATTTAAACCACTTACCTCTACTCACTCCTATCTAATGTGCTCAAACATCAACTCTTTCAATGATTGGAGAGCAGAAAGAAATCAGGTTAGGATATGAGAAAATGTCAGGTCACTGCAATGCTAAAATGAAAGTTAAGATAATTTGGCCCTCCCTGTGGTAGAAATTATAATCTAGATACACAATATCTCACATTACTCGGGAAAATCTTACCCCTTAAAAGAGAAATATCTCCCAATACAGTATGTAATATTTTATCATTTCCTATTTTATTCATCATAACTGGCATTAACAACTGCCCAGGGAGGTACTACCATCCTGCCAAGTGAGTGTAAAATGAAAGCCTGTAATTGTTTTACATGATGGTAGGATTGCTGGTGTCCATTTTTCTGCCTCGTAAACATGCAAGATTTCAGGTACGTCTTGCTACTTCTTCTTACACTTAGGTCACACTACACATACATGTACAAGCATATATATATGTACACACCCCTCTGGGTTTTCTTCTGTTTTCTTATTAGTTCTTGTTCTTGTTTATTTCCTGTTCTCTCCATGGGGAAGTGGAACAGTATTCTTCCTCCGTAAGCCATGCGTGTTGTAAGAGGCGACTAAAATGCCGGGAGCAAGGGGCTAGTAACCCCTTCTCCTGTATATATTACTAAATGTAAAAGGAGAAGCTTTTGTTTTTCCTTTTGGGCGACCCCGCCTTGGTGGGATATGGCCGGTGTGTTGAAAGAAAGAAAGAACTGGCATTAAAGAAATATATAGGACTTGGATTTAAATCTTGATAAATCTCACTTGGTAATACTCATAATTACTGGATGAATATTCTGATCAGTTGGTTAGATGAATTTGAAAATCATTCCATATGGACCATATGTACTTAAATTATCTTAAATCTTTCCAGGAGCAAGAGCAGTATATCCACCAGCTCTCTAAAAAAGACATGGAATATCGGGCATGGACTCTTTATCAGAAGAATCTTCAAAAGCCATCAGCTACTAACTTTTCTAAGAAGGGGAATAAACCCCCAGGAAGGATTGAGAGAGAGAATACAGATACCACTGGTGACCCAGTGGCTGTTGTAAAAGACCGGGGTCAAGTATTTGAAGTATTTACTGCTGAACAAAATAATGAAGCACACAACTCCCTTGAAGTAGATGTAGCAGGTATGAATTATAAAAGGTAAGGATATTAGTTAGGCAGTCATTTGGTACATGACTGTTTCTAGTCATTTGACTCAAACCCTCTGCAACTGCACCTTGTATCTTGGCATGATATGACCTTATCAGGTCTGAAATAACAGTAAAACTAATACAAAAAAGTTTTCACATACTAATTATATTTTATCATGAGGTACTTTTTTCACACTTTACTCTTGTATTGATGTGTTTGATTTGTTTGTATCTCTTACGGCAAACAACTCATTATCTAAAACATTCTGTATGGTAATAATATTTATATATTTTGCATTCTTGCTTTTATGGATATTCTACATGAGTGGGTGTGGGTGGGTGTGAGTTGGACCTGACTAGCTGGTGCTACTGGGTCAGATGCTGTGCTCCTTCCTTAACCCCTTGACTGTTGAAACCCCAAATCCTCCTGGTGTCGAAAAATTAAAAAAAAAAAAAAAATTCTTATGAAATGATAGAGAATCTTTTCTCGGTGGTAATGACACCAAAAGAACGAAATTTGATGGAAAATTTGTGGACCTACACTCTCATGAAGTTAGCGACCTCGGCAATATTTACGAATTGGCGATTTCACCCACTTTGAGCCCTATTTTCGGCTAATTCCATTGTTCCAGTTGACCAAACTCATAGCTATTTCTTTAGAACTCCATTTGTTTTATCGACTGAATACAAGAAACTGCCCATTTACCAATTTCAACTACCCAGTAACGTGGTCAGAAATATGCAGTTTGGCTAATTTCACGAAAATTAAAAAATATGCCAATTTTAAAATAGGGTCCTGGCTCTAAAATAACATTTTCTTTGTTCATCAGTCACGTCTCCAGGCCCCTCTGATATTGCTCTTGCTTTCTATTTTGAATTTTTATTCAAACAAAAAATAGAAGATTTACTGTTATGCAGACTACTGCAATATTGTAATAATTGTATAAATAACATCAACCCATTCATGACTGCATATTAGAATGGCTAGTTGGGCATTTATTGGAAAATGACATCATTTGTTTACTTTTGAACATTGGCAAAATCAAACATTTTCCCTACTTTGAGCTTCATTTCAAGGTTCTTTTCATAGTAAAACCAATCAAAATCACCTCTATTTCTATAATATGTTTTCCATTCTATCAAATGAGACCAAGAAAACAAGAATACAACCATAAATACTGTACAAAAATACACCGCAAAGTTGGCGTTTTAATCCAAAAAAAAATGGTCGGAGTTTTTTTTTTCTCATGCATTGCGTGCTGCATAATTTTTTTTATATGGTGCACACTGGCCACACAGACCCATTTTCTCATATGTGGGCCTACCAGCTTTCTCCTGCTTGATTTGAAGTCGCTAGAATTTTTGAGTATATATACGTCAAACACGGTGGCACATAAGACGTATATATACAATCAAAACAGTCAAAGGGTTAAGTGGAGGTGACCTGATTGGGTAGGCCATTGGTCTAAGCCTGGGGTTGACATGGACCTGCCCTGCATGGGACAGTAGACCTGCTGCAGTGTTCCTTCTTTCTTATGTTCTACCTGTCAACTCATTTAAATAATTATGTTAAACATTTTGAGAAATGCCAGGTGTCTTACTGTCAACTAATAGTTACTTGACCCAATAAATATTCACTTATTCAGAATAGATTGTTTACAACTAAGACTTAGTTATGCCACTTTTTAATGGCTCTTCTCATCTCTTAACTCAGTAAAGGTTTAGGCTGTCCTTATTATTTATTAGAAGCAAAACAAACTATTGTATGTTCAAATGATTTACACTGATAATCCAACAGAATACAAGGAAAAGGAAAGGGAAGAGCTCGTGGGCGCCCTCAAGGTAGTGTAATGAAACGTGGGCCTGGACGTCCTCGAGGAAGGAAATCTGGACAAAGGGCTAAAGCTCCTCAGTGTCCTGAGATAAAGCCCGAAGAGCTAGCGTCTCTTGTGGTTCCAGTAGGAGAAAACACAGGCGTGGCACTATTTCGACGCAAACAAAACCTTACCAGTCTGAGGAGGTCACTCGTTATGAAGAAAGTGAGTTATAAGCCAGTTATTGCCTATTCAAGTTGGGAGGGAGTGCACTAGCTCTTGATCATGGATTTTTTTTTAATTTGCTAATGCAATTTTTTGTTGTTGTTGTTGTAGCATGTAGCTTATTTGACCAAAGAAGGCTGGCAGGGTGACCCCCCTTCCCTTCCTTGTTTGGAATTGTTTCTGCATTCTAATGCATCATGTGATTTTAAGAGCAAGACTCTGTATGTTTATCACTCAGAATCCCCTGTTCATTGAAAGGTCAAGACAAGAGCACTTAGTTATTTGGCAGTTTAACCAGACAGTGTGGATATGTGAGGCCTAATTTATTGAGTGGTGCAAGTATTACAGCAGAGAATCCTTTATCTGAAATGCTTGGGACCAGAAGTGTTTCTGATTTTGGAGTTTTTGTATATTTGCATCTATAAAATGGGACAGCTTGGGGATGGGACCCAAGTCTAAAAATGATACCGTACTGTACAGGTACCATACCCCCCCCCAAAAAAAAAGCATGGTCACTGTTTACAAGAAAAAAGATACTGTATTTTATGGCATCGAAGACACCCTTTCCCCCCCCCCCCCCAAAATAATAACAAGTCTAGAATATTTACCCAGGAGGCCAAAAATTACATTACTCATAGACTCACCCTAAGGCTAGAGAAAGGTTTTGATACTATACTGTAATTAAAGCTCCTATATGTGACCCAACAATGAACCATGTAAACTGTTTTGTATAAAATGATGAATAAATTACAAAAATAGTCATAAAAATTCGTTGGTGCTTTGCAGTGGTAGGCTAAGTAAGGTAAACCAAGCAATGGAATGTTGGATGAACTGCAGGAAATATTAGTAGGCTAATTCAACAGTATTAATATTTTTATTTACCTCAAATGTTACTGGTATTAAGGGAACACACACTAGGTTTGTTTTGGTCATGTTGCAGTACAAATACTCTTATTAAATAGTAAAATCAATGAACTTAAAATCATGAACATGAAAAAGCATCACAAATCAATATACAATCTTAGCTGTAGACACATCCACTTGCACGCATCAAGACAGCAGGTAGAAAGAGAACACAGCCAGTCAGGTCCAGTTCATGTATTGACTGTAACTCACATGAGTGATAGTGTCCTGCAAGTATTCAGTTGCAGCTAAATTGAGTGACATTGACAGCCACAGAAAAACTAAAAAAACATTCAGTACACAAAGACTTTGGATTATCCTAGGTAATTTACATAAATGTTAACATGTGGGGTAATTTGTATAACTATTTTTTTTTTTTTTAACAAGTTGGCCGTCTCCCACCTAGGCAGGGTGACCCAAAAAGAAAGAAAATCCCCAAAACGAAAATACTTCCATCATCATTCAACACTTTCATCTCACTCTTACATAATCACTGTTTTTGCAGAGGCACCCAGATACAACAGTTTAGAAGCAAATGTAAAGATACAGTATAAAAAGCGACCTAAAATAATATAATAAACTCCATCTATAATACAATATCAGGGTCCCAGTTATATATATACCATCCTATTACACATCTCTCCAAACTGCCTATATCCCAAATCCCTCCTTTAAAGTGCAGGCATCGTACTTTCCATTTCCAGAACTCAAGTCCGGCTACATAAAATAACCGGTTTCCCTGAATCCCTTCAATAAAAATTACCCTGCTCACACACCAACAGCTCATTAGGTCCCAAAAAACTGCTCGTCTCCATTCACTCCAATCACTCCCTCCAACATTTTCAAGGACGACCCCCTACCCCGCCTTCCTTCTCCGTTCCTGGAAGTGTGACAATTATCGAAAATGACAATTTTCGAATAAATTTTCCCCATAAGAAATAATGTAAATACAATTAATCCATTCCTGACACCCAGAAGTATTAAAACAAAACATTTTTTTACATGAAATATAGATGCAGTACATAACCAATACAATGGGACATCATGAATGAAACATTAACAGCATAACACTTACCTTTATTGGCGATTCTTCTTAGTGTATGGAAGACTGGAGGAGGAGACAGATTGGATTAGTTACTGTTTGGAAGGGGAATCCCCTTCCATCAACACCTTAGGTACCAAGTCCTTTTCTGGGGTTACTTCTCTTCTCTGTTAATGCCACTAGGACCAGCTTGAGAGTCACTGGAGTCCTGTCTCGCAAAAAAAGTGCCCAGAGAGCTCTGTTTCTGGCGTCTCTTTAAAACTTCCCTAAAATGGGCCAAGACTGTCACTGTACAAGTTGCCGATATGGCTTGCAACATCTTTCTCAGGGTGATGTTCCTCCATAAATCTTTCCATCCTACCCCACATTTCAAAAATCTCCTTAATTTCTGAAGAAGGCACCTTCTTCCATCTCTCTTCCTCCTCCTTCCTCCTTCTCGTTTATCCACACCAATAATAATTTCTCAACCTCTTCGAGTACTGGTGATCTCATTTTTGTCAGCAGATTTACCCCCTTTGCAACAACAGCTTCCTTGATTTCCTTTTTCTTGGCCATGATGGAAGATATGGTTGTACGGGATTTGTTATACATCCTGGCCAGTTCGGCCACATGTACGCCATTTTCATATTGTTCAGTGATTTTTTTTTTTTTTTTTTTTTTTTTCCAACAAGTCGGCCGTCTCCCACCGAGGCAGGGTGACCCGAAAAAAGAAAGAAAATCCCCAAAAAGAAAATACTTTCATCATCATTCAACACTTTCACCACACTCGCACATTATCACTGTTTTTGCAGAGGTGCTCAGAATACAACAGTCTAGAAGCATACACACATAAAGATACACAACATATCCCTCCAAACTGCCAATATCCCAAACCCCTCCTTTAAAGTGCAGGCATTGTACTTCCCATTTCCAGGACTCAAGTCCGACTATATGAAAATAACCGGTTTTCCCTGAATCCCTTCACTAAATATTACCCTGCTCACACTCCAACAGATCGTCAGGTCCCAAGTACCATTCGTCTCCATTCACTCCTATCTAACACGCTCACGCACGCTTGCTGGAAGTCCAAGCCCCTTACCCACAAAACCTCCTTTACCCCGTCTCTCCAACCCTTTCGAGGACGACCCCTACCCCGCCTTCCTTCCCCTATAGATTTATATGCTTTCCATGTCATTCTACTCTTGATCCATTCTCTCTAAATGCCCAAAAACCACCTCAACAACCCCTCTTCTGCCCTCTGACTAATACTTTTATTAACTCCACACCTTCTCCTAATTTCCACACTCCGAATTTTCTGCATAATATTTACACCACACATTGCCCTTAAACAGGACATCTCCACTGCCTCCAACCGTCTCCTCGCTGCTGCATTTACCACCCAAGCTTCACACCCATATAAGAGTGTTGGTACTACTATACTTTCATACATTCCCTTCTTTGCCTCCATAGATAACGTTTTTTGACTCCACATATACCTCAACGCACCACTCACCTTTTTTCCCTCATCAATTCTATGATTAACCTCATCCTTCATAAATCCATCCGCTGGGGTTGGTGGCGCAACCCTGTAATCCGGCGACTCGGAGGCCTGGGCCAGTGGACGGCTTGAGGTGGGGATCACTGGTGCGGGACTCCCCATGTTGAGTGGGCGTCCGCACTTTTAGATACTGTTCAGTGATGTTTTTCTTAAATTCAGTCGTATTTCTCACCTTTACCAAAAGCTTGGCACTAGGAGCTTTCTTTGGAGCCATGGTAGCTTATTTAGCACTTGCAAGCACTAAAATGAATGGAATATTATGAAATATTTCATATGAACACGTGAGGGGATTGTTGCTCACTGGTAAACAATGGCACACTGGCTGGGAAGAGAGGCCGAGGCGGCTCAGAGCCGTGAGTACGCGACCAGGATGAATGACGATTAGCGAGTCAACCGACAATTTGCGATCCAATGTTTGGACTAAAATTACGCTACGATTTCCGAAAAGGACGACAATCGAGCCTGACTACTATTATCGAAGGACCACTGTATTTATTTATTTTTTTTCAACAAGTTGGTCATCTCCTACCGAGGCAGGGTGACCCAAAAAGAAAGAAAAAATCCCCAAAACGTATATACTTTCATCATCGTTGAACATTTTCACCTCACTCATAAATAATCACTGTTTTTGCAGAGGTGCCCAGATACAAAGTTTAGAAGCATATATAGAGATATAATATAAAAGTGACTTGAAATAATATAATAAATATAAGAATATAATATCAGGGCCCCAATTATATACAGTGGACCCCCGCCTTACGATATTAATCCGTTCCTGAGAGCTCATCGTAAGCTGAAATTATCATTAGCCGAATTAATTTTCCCCATAAGAATTAATGGAAATCAAATTAATCCGTTCCTGACACCCCAAAGTATGAAAAAAAAAAAATTTTACCACATGAAATATTAATTTTAATACACACAAACTGAAGAAGACATGCACAGTTACTACTCTACTAAGAATAGAATACATGACACTTACCTTTATTGAAGATCTGGTGATGACTGATGGGATGGGAGGAGGGGAGAGTGTGGAAATTATTGTTTAGAAGGGGAATCCCCTTCCATTAGGACTTGAGGTAGCAAGTCCTTTTCTGGGGTTACTTCCCTTCTTCTTTTAATGTCACTAGGACCAGTTTGAGAGTCACTGGACCTCTGCCGCATAACAAATCTGTCTATAGAGCTCTGTACCTCCCGTTCCTTTAAGACTTTCCTAAAATGGACCATAACATTGTCATTGTACAGGTTGCCAACACGGCTTGCTGTAGCTGTGTCAGGGTGATTTTCATCTGTAAAGGTTTGCAGTTCAACCCACTTTGCACACATTTCCTTAATCTTTGAAGTAGGCAACTTCCTCAATTTTTCTCTCCCCTCCTCTGAAGCAGTTTCCTCAGGTCTGGCCTCTTTCTATTGAAGATGATCTTGCAGCTCATCAGTGGTTAGTTCTTCATTGTCCTCCTCCACCAACTCTTCCACGTCCTCTCCACTAACCTCCAACCCCAAGGACTTCCCCAATGC